ATATTCATTAAGCCATTGCTTAAAGTGCCTAAAATTATTTTATTACAAAGTGCGAAATTTCTATTGATTGACTGGATTTAGAGTATATTTATTCGGTCTTTACGTTCGATTTCTTATACTCACACTCACCGACCTAAATATGTGTCATAGTCAGTTTGACTTAAAGTGGCAGAGACTGTACGAGACTTAATAGCATCTTAAAAGTGAGCAGCGTTTGAGTAAATAGATCCACAGATCAATACGCTGGTGGAATGTGAATGAAATGGCTGGTGGTGCCGGTCGTATAGCTCGATAAACCGATAACAGAAGGTAAAAGGTAAAAAGGCAAAACTAGTAATCAAGTTTTAGAGTACTTCTATTCGATTACAGACAGAATCAAAGTTACGTAAAACAAAAATAGTTGTCGGGTCTAGTTGATTTGTATTTGCCTTCTGAGTGAACTACAGAAAAGCAGATGGTTTACAATTTGACGATACCTTCCTGTGAAACAATTTTGATGATAAATATATTTTATCAAATAGGGTGTACGTCAACAGCGGTCCCATAATTTTAACCGTTACCATTACCGCATATTAAAAGTCCACTGCTGAACATAGGCCTCCCCCATAGATTGCTTCATAGGGAGAATATTTGCCATGATTGCCACGCGTGGCGAGGAGGTTGGCAGCCGCCTCGCCAAGCCGCGCTTTTATTTTATTTTTCATCGTTATTGGGAATACGCTGCTACCCATATCCTGGTCCTGGTTTAACACCCAGTGTTGCGTCCTACGACACCCCCGGGATGAAATCTAGTAGTCGAAATTCTTACAACACACCACCACTACACGCCTTTTATTTTCTGTTAAAATATTTTTATAACCAAAAGCGGCAAAGGAATATGCGATCCAGTAGTTTATAAATGGATGCTGCGATTCATTTAGCTTCGATTAGAATTATTAGTGGTAAAATTAATAATTTTGTAAAACCGACTTCAATGTATTTAAAATGAGAAAATCATCAATGTATTCGAAGTCAATTAAATACGCATTATTAATGATAACTCAAAAACTACTAGCCAAATCTTGATTAAATTTATATGGGTCTACACAAAAAGCACCAGTATTCAGATAAAAAGATCATCTAAATCCGTTCACCTAGAAAAGGGTTATGAGGTAACACGCATAAAAAGAAACATACAGTCGAATTCAATAGCTTCTCTTTTTTAAAAATGCAGATGCGTTGCCCTCATAAAAAATGGTGGGTATGATTAAACTTTATTAAAATTAAAACCCACTTAAAAAAACTAAAAAGTATTAAAAAATAGCTTAGTAAAAAGTAGGTTGCAAAATAGGGTGCTAGGCCACCCTGAAACCTCCCCCTAGTTTCAAATGTAAAGCGCTTTAAATTTTACCTTAGGTTCATAATATAATTGTTAAACGTTTCGAGCTCTTCGAGCTCAAAATGTTGTAATAGGTTCAGGATAGAATTGCTATACGTTTGAAAATTTTATATAAATATTATATTTTTTTAGGTTATTTAAAAAGAAAACACTTTTTCGAGATATCTTTCGATAATGATATCTCTTGAACGAATCAACCGATTTCAATACGGTTTGCAGCAATCTACGTCGTTTTTTGAGTAAAAAAGCTGATTAGATCAAAGAATTGATCAACACAAGAGTTTCGAAGTAATAAAAAAAAAAACATTTTTTGAAAATAGGAAAAACTCGAATTTTTGAGGTTTTTACAGAATCGTCTGTGCCGTTTCGGTCTGACTCGGGAATTTAAGTTAAGCAAGGCCCTTTCAGACGCCTCAACTCGCTTTTCGATCGGATATTCCGTTACAAAGTTATGATATAGATAGTCAGAATAGCTTCATAAAATGTCGAGATATTACGAAAACTCGATTTTCGAAAATCGAAGTGAAAATAATAAATTCCCGATTTTTTTTAAATTCATTGATTTTCATAGCGGAAAATTAAAATCCACATAATTTAATAGCTTCTATTGTCGGAGCTTGTATTCTACAAAGTACCTGTGATATATGTCTTCACATTATCTGTAAGATAAGATATTATTATTCGAAAGTGCATATCTATAAGATAGTGTATGGATAGGTATATGATAAACTATCTTAGCATCGATTTCAGAAGTTATTGAATTATGTCTAAATTATTTTATTCCTTTTGGTTATTTGCAATCGAATTTTACTTTCTTTTAATTTTTTTTTATTATTTAATGTTTAATTTGGATATATTTATGTAACTTTATTCATATAATTACCGTATGTATGGTTCATAAAAGATAGCTTGATCTCTGCGACAGCTGTCAGTAAAAATCACGCCTATGAAGTCCTGAATTTCTTAGTAGTACAGACAGTACCTACTGTCAATGTCATACTTTATGGGCATGCACTAATTAGGTCGGCTCATCAAGCTATCTTTTATGAACTATAAATGTATTATTTTTACCAATATGTTATTTTTAAGTCACATATAAGTGAATTTTGTTCTTTTTGGGATAATAAACTCTTTGAACGTAAACTCGATTCACACTTGTTAATGGACTAAGGGAATCACCAGCTCAAACTAACAATTGGAATAGCGTCTAATTCATTGCGTGCTCACTTCCTACCTAATTTTTCCTCCCTTAGAGTAGCAATTATTTCTATATGAATTATAATTAATATAAAACAGTAATATATATTAATATTTTTATAAAAAAAGGGTGATGTATTTTTTATAAAAATATTTTGTTATAAACGAGCACACAGCCCACATGGTGGTAAGTGAATGTGAATGTGGCTAAATTACATTTATCCGCGGTTAAGAATCAGAATGCAGATGCGTTGTCACCCCTGAAGACTAAGATAGAATGCTTCGTTTCCAGTAAAAAGGATCTCCAGTTCTCTACACTTACTATACGTAACACAGCATTATTGACCTGTCCTTCCTGTCCGTCCTTCTAACAGTGACATTGTCCTTCCGAACCACCCTACACCCATAACGTACTCGTAGCTGCAGCGTGCCTACCACGTAAATGAATTTAAATGTAGGTACTACGCCCGAAGTATAACCGAATTAAAAAAAACCGTTAAAATTGGTTCATAGTTAGACGAAGATAACCTGTAACATATATAAAAAAATATACAGTCAAATTGACTTCGATTTAAAATGTTGGTAATTATGGAAGATTTCTTAGAACTTTTAATAATTGCCTCTAAAACTTCACGTTTAATTCATTTAATTGAATTCGCTTCAAACATCTTCTGTAGTCAATAGAGCAGTGAACAAATTGATCGGACGCAAACGAGCCTTCTTAACAGCATCCACTCTGAACGCAAATCGTTACAGAGGACCGGCTCTCCAGCCTCTAATCATGAAAATGTATTTATGACCTAATTAAACTTCTGTCTACCCTCCGAGCGAGCGAGACAGCTATGAAGCACCGTAACAAGACGAAAGGAGAGAGCAGATGACCCCGGCCGGTGATTAACGAGCGTTATATGGCTGGTTAAGTACCGTGTAATTTGCAAAACGACCCTTAATTACCTCTGAACATGGCTACCATCTCCGTCCTTATCGAACGGAGATAAAGTTCGTGTGGCGGAGAGAGATAAATAAAAGTTATAGGGTGGCGCTTTAAAGGCGGTATTTAATGAGGCATTATTATGTCTGCCGTGCAGATTAGGTTCACATGGCGCTGAAAATTGTTTACCCGCTCTTTATATTTGGTTTTGTTCGAGACAAACAGATGTGCCAGCCAGTGTGTTTATCGGAGCACCTTTGCTTGAATACAAATTTCGAAATTATCAAAGATATAATTTTGTATGAAATCATGTTTTATACACACATATTATGCCATTTACACTGGGTTAAATATAAAATTATACTTGTAAGAAGTTGTCCAATGACAAGTGCTTAGTGCGTGTGAACAAGCAGTGACAATTGAAAAGTGGGAATAAAACGCGCACTAAGCACTTGTCACTTGTCAGTTTCAGTTGTCACTCGCACTTGTCACTTCCCAAAATGCAAACCGGATCTTACGGTGTAAGAATATCCACTACCCCATATGGGTACAGTAGTAGCTTCCCGTGGGGGTCGTTAGGGACGATAGAGGGAAAAAATCAGGAGAAGAGCAGCGGCATCTTCCTAATAACAACAAAAAATAAAAAACTACGGTTGCCAAGCGTGGTAACTATGGTAAATATCCCTCCTCTGAGGCAATATATTGGGGAGGCCTATGTTCAGTAGTCGATTTTAATTGACTGTTACGGTTAAGGCTTAGTGGGTGAGATGTTTTTACGTGATAGAAGCATGCTGCAGCTATATTATAGTTATAGCACGAATGGGTCGGCTCGACCGGGGTAGGACCACGCTTTCACAGAATACCAGCGTAAATTTGCAGCTTAATGCTACTGTATTTTTTATAGTAAGTATAGAGATCAGGAGACTCTTTTTTACTGAAAACGAGGCATTCCATCTTAATCCTCAGGGTGACAATGCAACTATATTTTGCTTCTTAATTGAGGATAAATGTGGATGTCTATGGGATACAGCTTCCACTTATCATCAGATGGACTGTGTGCTCGTTTGTCACTCAATGCTATAAAAACAGTAGGGAAGAGTCCACCGTAATGCCCCATAGCATGGTGGCAGTAAATTGGACTTAAGTTTCCTCACAATACTTTTCCGCCAAGTAGGTATGTGTACCACAAATCAACACTTAAAATTGCATTAAATAATCAAAGATGAGACGAGCACATATATCCTGATACCGAAGATTTATAGTAATCACATTTATCACCTTAAGAAACGAGGTATTCATCTTAGTCCTCATGGATGACAACGCATCTGCATTTTTCTTAATCAAGGATGGATGTAGACTGTGTGTTCGTTTGGCACCCTTATTCTATAAAAAGTATTGTGTCTAATTAATATCACCATAAGTAAATAATTTTTTTTGTTACAGGTGTGGTTCCAAAACAGAAGAACAAAATGGCGGAAAAAGCATGCCGCAGAAATGGCAACGGCAAAGCGTAAACAGGAAGAACTTGGCGAGGAATGCGACGAACAAGAGTCCCACGACAACGATCCCTGCAGCGATGAAGACGACGCCAAGAGGCCCAGGCTCGACCTCCATCTTCACCATATACCGCACCATCGTCAGTGATTGCGTGCGCCCACCGTGGGCGATACAGAACAAACTTTGACATGTGAACCCAGTAGTGATGTGAAGTTATATCATCGGAACGCTTCAGTCGATACGGGCGCCAGAATAGACCCTGATCCAAATCATTACATTGATTACAATTACGATTATTCTATTTCTAGAATGTCCAATTATAATGCAAATGAGATGCCGTGCGATTTATCTAACTGGCAAGTTAGGAGTATGGATAGAGTTGAAAACAATATGGCGGACGAGCGCGAAATCGCGAACGCTAGTGGCTCGTTGGATAGTGAACAGGATAATTTTAATAGTGATAATGCTGATGACAGTCAGCCGATAAATTTCGCATATTACCACTTTTAATAAAGCTGCAGATAGTACACAGATATATATATATATATATATATTTGATATGTTATTATTTCACGCGAGATATATAAATAGTATTGTTGGTATAAAAGTTATTAAGACAACAAGCCTTATAGTTAAAACAGTAATTAAAAAATCCCGACTGCATAAAAATGTTTATTAAAAGGAGAAACATTTCATAAAATATGTCACCTCCCTTTATTAAGACGAATCTAAGATTGAGTCCACACGGCAAGTTGCGATGCGCTGCGTCGTCGCAACGAAAATATTTTGAAGCATTGCCGGCCGCACTGGTGCTGCGTCATCGCAAGTAATCCATATCAATTTCTTTAATGGCACTCATTTTACTCTGCAAATGCGAGCTATCAACGCACAAACAACTGAGCGCTGCCGCTCTGGCGTCGCAGGCAGTACACCCCTCCACCTTCGTCTCGGGGCCTGTCACTCAGTCGTATGCGTCAACGCAGCGCATCGTGTGTACACTATGGTTATTAGTGTGTAAAACGATGCAGTGACAGTGCTACGTCAACGCAACGCTGACTCAACGCGCCGTGTGGACTATGGAGTGTAGAAGTAAGGAGTACCAACTCCCATAGTAGAATATTTGAAAAAGTGGCCATCTGTAAACGGTGAATAACAGTTCAAAAACTCTCCAAAACAGCGCTGGAGTAGCTACTGATGAAATGAACTTAGCAGTTGTCGACGGTTTGAAGTGTGCTCCTAAACTGCTCAGTAGCTCTAAAATCAAAATTATTTTACTTAGTAAATATAACCTCGAAAAAGTCGTCTATCCTAATAATATTTTTCAGCACGTTCTTTAAAATTTAGCCCGTAGCTATAGTGGCGCCACCCCTATTTAACTGTTTTCTCTGGACACTTTTTAATGCACTGTCTTTACTCCTTATTTCTACACTCCATAGTGTGGACTTACCCTTACGACATATGCTAAAATTCATCAGGTCGTTTAGGATGCAGATCGTGCCAAATAAATAGAAACTTAAACCTTACACTTCTTCTGTGGAAGTCAGGTAAATACAAAACAAATATAAGGCCAAGAAAAAACTGTTGCTATAATTAAGATTAGATACATAATTTAATCATTCTCTATTCGATTTTATAATTTTGAGTACTGTCTGTACCCTTTACTAATTTAACTATAATATGCAGTGTAAATTTAACTTTTTACTTCGATTTGTAAATATACGCATAAGTAGTAACGCCATAATTCTTAAGTAACTTATTATAACTAGTTTTTATAAAATACCATAAAGTTTAAAAGTATTAAGTAGGACATAATGTACATTTAAATGGAAAAATTCCCGGTGCCAACTCATACCATTGCAAATAAATAAAATATAGTTTTGTAGCAATACGCTATAAACGCGCAAGGATGTTTTTAGTTTAACGTCCGTTATATTTGTAAATATAAAATAAGGGTGCAAAAGTCGTATTTGTTAAAGGATAATGCAATGTATTGTATATTGTACGAAATAAGGGATTTATTTGTAAATAGATATTTAAACGAATTTAATAAATACTTTATTATAACTACTTGTAGCGATCACCACGCAAAATACTATTTCGTTTTATTTACGTGTTTTGTTTGTTAAGAGCTTGTAAATATTGTCTGTTACCTACCATAGACTAAGCAATTTCACTCTGAATGGTCTATGCTATTCTATGCTATGTTGTAAATGGCAATACTTTTCGGTTAATTTGTGTATGTACTACAAATTAAAACCGTTAATTACCTTATATATTAAAATCGTCTTATTTTACTTTTTGTAATTAAAATCTTTCTTAACTTTTTGAATTTGTAAGGCTTCAATAACAAAAATAAAAACAATTTTATAATCTGAAATATTGATATAAAAAGTCAACGCCTTTTATTTAATGAAAAAAGGTATTTGAAATTTTTTTTCAATATATAAAAGTTAGTTTATATAAATGCGTTTTCAAATACTAAGCAAATAATAATAACTACATACTTAAATAATGAGTTCTTATCCCAATTTAATAACAACACTTCTAAATTACAGGCTTATTACCTGACTCTTTGTTAAAAGGAAACAAATTACATGTAAAATTACTTCAAAGGCTTGTATGTAATTGTTCCATGAAATTAAATTTTCAGGTGAAAAAATCAACATACCTACAACAATGCAAAAAAGAAAATGTTATAATAATATTATTATGTAACAAGCCATACTTGAGCGTGGTTGATCAACGTAATGTGGTTGAAATAAACGGTTAGTAAAAATATTGCTTGAGTATTATTTGCCGTCTTTTCAAAAATAAAGCTTACAATTTAGCTTTGTACCCCATAATGTTCAAATCAAAAATTTCCGATAAATTGACTTAAGTTAAATATTTTTTCATATTTAATTCATCAAATATAGTACATGAGAGTCATATGGTCATCCGGTTAATACGGTAACTTTCTTATAACCCAAAAACTACAACCTTGTTGGCTCTGTGATCAATGATTTCAAAAGGAAGGATAGGCCCATCTAAATATTTTGCTCATAACTTTTTCATACAAGAAAAAATAGCGCATCTGTCATAATACAAACGTCATATCAAAACACGACGTAACCAGGGTCGGATTTTGTAGTATAATTATCCTAATTATACATTATTTTTTTATTACATTATTTCATAGTTTGTAGTACATTGTATCGTAATAATACTAAGCGAAAATACGAGCATAATTTTATCTAAAGGTCGACATCTATTATTATTGAGTCCTTTTACATTTTAATATTAACCCTACGATATAGAGAATTTCTGTATTGTACATGAGTACCGCGTTTTTTTTAATAAAATTAGAATTAGCTCCCCGTCTGGTCAATTAATGCTCGATCGATCCTTTTCTTTTGTACTCGTTTCATTTACCCTTATTGAATATAAAATATATTAAACCAATATTCAAAATTTTACTTACACTGAGTTCTTCAGACAAAAATTAAACAGAAATAAAAATAAAACCGTCAAAAAACGAAACGTATAGATAAAATAGACGCGTGACGCCAAAATCCCGACACATCATCATCATCATCATCATTACAGCCCTTCACAAGTCCACTGCTGAACATAGGCCTCCCCTAAGTAACGCCACAAAGCACGGTCCTGAGCCACCTGCATCCATCGACTTCCTGCATGTCTTACCAGGTCATCACTCCATCTAGTGGGGAGTCGCCCTACACTACGCCTACCGGTACGAGGCTGCCACTCGAGAACCTTTCTTCCCCATCGGTTATCGGTTCTTCGAGCTATATGGCCGGCCCATTGCCACTTCAGCTTACTAATCCGTTGGGCTATGTCGGTCACTCTGGTTTTACTGCGGATATCCTCATTTCTGAGTCTATCACGCAGTAAAACTCCGAGCATAGCCCTCTCCATAGCTCGCTGAGCGACCTTGAGCGTCCTCATACGGCCAGCGGTGAAGGACCACGTCTCAGATCCGTAAGTCATCACTCGAAACACGCATTAGTTGTACACTTTAGTTTTCAGAGATTGAGGTACACCTGACGAGAAGATGTGTCGTAATTTCCCGAACGCCGCCCAGCCGAGCTGAATCCGTCGATTGACCTCTCGGTCGAAGTTGGACTTACCTAGTCGGACTATTTGTCCCAGGTAAACGTACTCGTCAACAACTTCGAGCATAGTGCTCCCAACAACTACCGGCATAGGTGTGATATGGACATTGAACATGATCTTTGTTTTGTCCATGTTCATCTTAAGACCTATCCGTTGGGAGACACCATTGAGGTCATTGAGCATAGTGCTAAGGTCCTCCAGCGATTCTGCCATAAGGACTATATCGTCGGCAAATCGAAGGTGAGGGATGTACTCGCCATTGATGTTAATACCGTATCCTTTCCAGTCCAGTAGCTTGAAAACGTCTTCCAAAGCAGCGGTGAAGAGTTTCGGGGATATAACGTCACCCTGTCTTACACCTCTCTGCAGTTGGATAGGTTACGAACTCTGGTTCTGTACTCGGATAGCCATCGTAGCCCTACTGTACAAACACTTCAGCACTTCGATATACCAGTTGAGGAACTGTAGCACCGCCCAAATTTCGATGGAATCAAAGGCTTTCTCATAGTCCACATACGCCAGGCAAAATGGCAGATCGTACTCTTCGGTCTTCTGTAAAATCTGCCGCAGGGTTTGTATGTGGTCTATGGTACTAAAACCTTTTCGGAAACCGGCTTGTTCAGGAGGCTGGAAGTCGTCGAGTCTGCATGCGAGACGATTCGTAATGACTCTCGAAAACAGCATGTAGACGCGGCTCAGAAGGGAAATCGGTCTGTAGTTCTTCAAGAGAGCGTTGTCGCCTTTCTTAAAGAACAAGACCACCGCACTTCTGCTCCATGCCTCCGGAGTAGTGCCACCATGGAGGACGGAATTGAAGAGCTTCTGAAGGACTTCAAGTACCGGTGTTCCACCCGCTTTCAGAAGCTCCGCTGTAATTGCATCCTCGCCTGGGGCCCTGCCGTTTTTAAGGTACTGGAGAGCCATTCTAATCTCGCTCAGACTGACGTCCAGGATATCATCGGAATAGTGTCGGGTAATACTTGCTCTTGGATCGTTGCGTGTGCTCAACGTGTACCTCCCATAGAACCTCTCAATCTCACTCAAAATCTCAGGTGTCTCGGAAGCGATGCTGCCACACTCAGTCTTCAGCTTTGACAGTTGGCTCTTTCTGGTAGACAGATCTCTGGCAAAGACTTTGAAGCCCTGGTTCCGCTCGATCGCTTCTTTAATACGAGCAGTATTAAAGTTGCGTAAGTCTCGCCGCATGCATTTGGAGATCTGTCTGTTCAGTTGCCTGTATGCTGTCAAATCTGTTGACGATTGCAGCCTCATCTCCCGTCTAACAGCCATAAGATTAAGAGTGTGATCGGAGAGTTTTTATGTTCTTCTGCGGAGGGTCTTGCAGAACTTAGCTCCGACGGCATGGACAGTTTCCACGAGCTTGTCATTCATAT